CTTGCTTTTAAAAAATATATGGAAATAAAATCCGAGAGGGGGAGAAAGTTGTCTCAGGACCCACGGTGAGTCACATGCAGAGCTAAGAGAAGAACTTGACTAGTTCTTGACTCTCCCCCACATCTTCCTGACTTACTGAATGATAACTGCCTGGTTGGGGTTGGGGAGACAGACATGGGGTGGAACACGGTTGGGAGCCCTGGTTCTGACATTAAGCTGCCTGGACTCTGTAGGGGCTGGTGCAGAGCTCATCACACTGCAGGGACTTTATGTGGAGGGGGATGCTGGGGCAGCCTTCCGATTGGTCTCAGATCCTGGGAAGATCCAACCTCCCTCCAGGTCCTGCCCTGGAGAATGTGGCCGGGTTGGATGGACTCGGGGCCATATGAACACTGGACCAGTCTTTCACGTACAATTCCTCCCAACAACTCCGCCACCTTGCCCCCTTCCTGTTCAGATCATCCAAGCGAACCAGAGCCCTGGAATGACTTGGGTACCCTGAGCCACAGGAACATGCGTGGAGTAGATGGCGCTGGTCCTTGCCCCATGCCCTTTACTGGGCTGGTGCACCTGTCCCCTAACTGACGTGAATGTTGCAGCTAAGGGCTCATTGCTGCACCTTTCTCTGGAGAACTGCCTACCGCCCAGAGGAGCCACTTTAACCAGAGATAATTGCGCACACAAGCCCTTTACCCACCCCCCCCCCCCCCAGGGACAGCTGATACTGCAGAACAAAAGGCTGCTGTCCCGGTCTCATGGTGAGACTAACTCTGTGCTACAGCTCATGCTCCAGAGCTCCCTGCAGCATCAGGTTGAAGCGAGACTCCAGTTAAACCTCCTCTTTGCTGAGCTCCTTCCTGCGCCCTATCTTGCTTCCTTCACTCCCTGATGGATTTCTCTTGAGGGCTCCCCCTCAGTAATTCACCTGCGCACGAATCCCCACATCAGGCTCCGCTTCTAAGGCAATGTGAAAGCTTCGAAGCTCTCTCCCACCTTCCAAATTCTATGAATGCGGAGATGGCCAAAAGGGTTCTAAGCTTAGCAGCTAGAAAAGTCTGTCCTGGTGAGGAGAACCGAGGTTTCACCAGAGATGCTTAAGCAACAGCATCCATTGATCAATACTGATTGGGCATCCACTATGGGTCTAGCAGCTGCTTGGTGCTGGGGGACCTGGTGGGATGCAAGAGAAGTGCAGTTCTTACCCCTACCCTCTGAGTTAGGTCAAAGGGCTTCCTGACCTCCTCCTCAGTCCCTTTTAGAGTAGCCACATACTGGCAATCAATTGAGCACATGGAACCTTGGAAATGCTTTTAATTTCTTTTAATGTGTAACAGTAACGCCTGAGTTACAGAGGAAGCGCTTACAAGCAGGTAGTTAAAGCAAATGCCAGTTTCTCCTTCTAGTCTACTACTCCATAGAGCCGAATAAATTATGGTGCGATTATATTTAAACACACACCCTGGCGCCCACACGCCCATGCACACACCCCACTCACGCTCTCATGCACACACACTCACATCCACATGGAGGAAAATGGCTGTGAGTCAAACATGGAAGCAACCAAGTTGCAGTTACTAGGAAGAAGGAATGATCTAGAGTGCTATGTAGATATTTCCCAGGTAGGGGATTGGCCATGTCGGAGTTGAAAGAAAAAGCACTCAATACACAGATGTCTCTGAGCATTTCAAGATGGCGGCTGCAGTACCCCCATTTGGTCTTGATTTGGTGCCTCTGCAGGAGGGGAACAGAGAAGACCCATTGACCACAAAAAGCATCAAATAGTGAAGGGCACATTCAGGAGCTTGATGAGAACATCAACCTGAGAGAGGCCCCAGAGAATGTCTTTTGGGGAGCAATCATGGAGTTTCACCAAGTTCCAGGACCCAAATCTCAGGATGCTTTACTAGCTCCATCTAAAACACTGGATTTCAGGGGAGTGGCCAAGTCTGGGACCCGTCCTATTTTCAAGCCATAGTCAGATGGGAAATCTGACCTTCTCATTTTTCTTCTGGGCGAACCTCTCTCTTCATTCTTCTCTCCTTCTCTCTCCCTCCCCTATCTCTCTTCTTCTTCATGTTCCTCTGGCAAAAGAACAGTAAAGGTAAATCAAGTAAAAAATAAGAGTATAAAAGCATCGCTTGGTTCTTATACATCACTTCTTTTTTTTTTTTTAGCAAGAGAGAGATAGCAAATGAAAAAATGAAGCCATAACAATGAAAGAACCCAACAGAGCCTGGAATGTATAATTTGAAACACGCGATATGCAGATATATCCCTACAGATGGTCCCTGGCACTAGCACGACACGCACTGTGGGGGTTTTCTTTCCTTTTTTAGTATATATATATTTATATATAAAAGTCAACCTCCTATAAACGAACGGCACATCACCACGTTTCCAACTAATGTACAATGAGCTCAGAGGAGGGGCCTCCCGTAGGAAGGACCAACAGCTACTCGTGATTAAGTTGGAAGAAACAGCTCTTATTTTGCTATGGACTCTATTTACAGGGATGGATGGGGATTGCTTGTGGGCCGGCCTAGCCCCTGGGATTCAGGCCTTCTTTCTCAGGCTGTGATCAACCTCAAGAGTTTGAGGCCTTGTACCTCTTGTCCCATATCACCTCTCTGGTGAAGGTGCCAGCTGCCAGCACAAGACTGAATTTTATAGCTTGAGTTGGCTAGACACATCAACACACGGGGTTTTAGGAAAATTCCGCTGGGGTTGGGATCTCTGTCTGAGGGGAGTGGGGCCCCTGGGGAATAAGTCTCATTTTCTACCAAGATGGTGGCTTGGGAGAACTCCAGAGAAGTTGGACGTAATGAGAAATCATTTGGTATCTTCCCATTCCACCATAGGGGGCAGACACTTGAGATTGGTCCTAGCATTGGAATGTCATCTCCTGGGGGTGGGGGTGGGCAGTTTTGATGTCACCTGCTTGAGATCCCGGCTCTTGGGTAACACAGAGTGTAAGGAGACTCAGATGATTTCTGAGCCAGGCCTCCAGGGGAAGGATTGAACATTCAAGGAATGTGGATGGAGACTGTAGTTGATCTTAGGGAACTGCTGCTTTCTGGCTGTGATAGCTACAAAAGCACGGACTGGGTCACCAAGGTACAATGCAGTCTTTCTTTTTGTCCAGAGCTTGAAGAACCAAAAGTCTCCTGCAGTGGATGCTCCAGTTGAAATCTTGGCTGAACTTGATGGGCCACACATGTCTGGGTGTCCGCTGCTACCAAAGAGTCTGTTTGTCCCCAATTCTTAATAGATTCCTCAAAACCAGAGATACGAGCCACTCTGGCCATGGTCCAGGACAGGCTTGGTATCACTGAGTCTGAAGATGTGAAACAAGTGAGCATTTGTCACAGAGGTGACGTCCATGCAGGAAAGTATCCTAGCATCCTGCCAACCAGCTCCCCAGGGGGGAGGACCTCAGGTCAACTCCCATAGCAGCAGGTCTTCCCTCTAGGAATGTCTTGTTGGTTGAAGGCAAGAGGCCTGGGTTGAGCAAAGAGGTGGCCTCACGTGCCCAGGTGGGGACAAGCAATTTGGTCCAGTCTTTGTGGATTCAGTGCTGTGTCTCCCGTCACAAGTGCCTTCTACCCAGCAGCACTTGATACAGGTGATCCAAGTGTAGATTATAGTGATGGTGATGCTGAAGATGAGTACAGTTTTGATAAATAGGTGAAGGTGGTGAAAAGTTCCAAGGGAGGCATAGTCAGGGGCTTGAACCATTCCCCAAAGGCCTCCACTCTCAAAGAGAAGGGAGCTTGGGGAAGCCACTGGAGTGGCCAAGGAAGGTGCTTTTCCCTTTTCTCCAGGACCTTCGGCATCCCCCTCTGCCCAGGGGTGGCGGCTTGAAGATTGGCCGCATCCGCCCCTGCCCAGCTGTGCTGGATCAGGAGACAGAGGCCTCTCGGCCGAGAGAGAGTCAACACTGAAAGATGCCCCCCTGGGGGACAGGGACATGCCCCCCCAAATGCCAAGGGGAATTGGTGGTCTTGCCTGTCGGGCACACAGTCCCTGCAGGTCCAAGAACCCTCCTCCAGAGCTCCACGGGAGGCTCTCTGCACCCCCAGCAGCTTCAAGGGACTCCCAGACAGATAGAGGCCCCCTTCCTAGAGGCCTGGGCAGGCAGAGGATGGGCTCAGTCTCCACAGGGGGCTTTGTGAGAAATCGAAGCTCCGTGGGGTGTGGACTTGAAGACATAGAACTGGAGCCTTTGGCAACAAAGGTTTGCCACCCACAAGCAGAGAGACCCCAGTTATGAAATCCCCTTCTGAGCCAGCCCTGTGCCTCTTCACTCACGTGCCCTCAAGACTAGGTCCCCTCCCCCTCCCATCTGATCCAGCGAATGAGAAAACTGAAGAGTTCTGCAGGCTCCTCAGGCCCTACGTGGGGTGGACAAGGTTGGACCTTAGGTTTCAATCTAAGAGCCGCCAGCCTCTGGATGCCTGTGTTGGGTCCTTGTGCCCTGGGCCCACCATGGCTGACAAGCCCCACCCCGACCTGGCTCAGTCCCTTGGTCAAGCCTCTTCCCAGGCCCCCTGCCTAGGCCAGATTCCCCCCGACGCCCAGCTGATGTGTGTGGGGAGGGTCCTGAAGTCCTCAGAATTCCTGGGTGATTCCCCTGGGAAAACCCCAGGGCTAGGGTCCCCTCTCTGCTGGAGTCCCAGCATCCAGAGGAGGAATGGGCTGTGGTTCTGACCCTGGGCCAGAGACCCACCTGGGAGGGCTGGCTCCCAGCACTTCGAGCTGAGAGCAGCCCTGTGAGCTCCACCTCCACCACTGGCCAGGGTACCCAGTGGAATTGGGTCCAAAGGGCTCTAGGACCTCATCCCAGACACCATCCTCCTTTGATACCCAAGGTGCTCGATTCAGGGTGAGCTTTGATCTCTGTGCCTGAGATGGCACAGAGGCCATGACAGGATTTGACTAGGGGAGGACTGCAGGCTGGCCAGAAACTCTCCTGGGGAGACAGTGAAGGGGCAGACTCCAAGGGGGTCACTCTAGGTCCCTAACCACAGGCAAATGGTTGACTGGCTGCACATCTCCAGAGGACTGGCTATGAGAAGGGAATGGGCTCCTTTCCTGGCCTTGTGGGACCCCAGGGCAATGAAGGGACTGAGGCTGGGAGGCTCAGGGATCAGTAAAGGTTGGGCTGGGACTTGGGCTGGGGCAAGTCACCCCAGGGGCCTTAGTAGGCCTGGCCAGTTTCCACAGGCAGGAGTCCCAGCACAGCAGAGTGCTCCCCAAGCTTCATGCGACGCTGTGTGGAAAGGCTCACGTTTTTGGCCAGGTAATCAACAGCAGCTGGAAAAAAAGAGAAACTCCTAGAAATTGAGATTCTTGTTGCCTATTCTTCCATCTGCCCCACATCCATCCATGCATCCATCCATCCATCCATCCATCCATCCATCCATCCATCCATCTATATATCCATCCATCTATCCATTTATCCATTCATCAATTCGTCCACTCACCCTTCTTTCAATCTATCGCTCTCTTCTTCCATCCATCCATCCACCCATCCATCCATCCACCCATCCATCCATCCATCCATCCATCCATCCATCCATCCATCCATTCATCAATTCATCCATCTATCTATCTCTTCTTCTATCCATCCATCCATCCATCCATTCATCCATCCATCCATCTCTTCGTGAAGCTCTTTCTCTCACCTCTCCAATCATTCAGCATATATTTACTTAACACATTATTTCCCCAGCTCTCTCCGGGGTTCTGTAGGGAGGTACAGAGGGTACCCACATTGTTGAGTGAAGAATTAGTCCCTCTTTCCAACACGCCTCTACATATCCCACTCTGGGGGGCACCCAGTGAGTCCCACAGAACCCAGGTAGTAATGAGGGCTAGGTCCTTCTGCCTTCTCTGGACCCTGAGCCCAGCTCATGGATGAGGCAAAGCAAGACCCCTTACTCAAAAGCCAAAGCAGCCTTTGCAGGTGAGCTGATGGGTCCATGTAAAAGGAGGAGCCAGGCCCCTGATATGCAGGAGCTGAGACCTTCAGCCTTGTCAGTTCTGGTCCTCCAGAGGACAGGGTGAGAGTCTGAGGGTGTGCTTGTGTGCATGTGAACAGTGAAAACAAGCATCTCTGTGAAGTAGTAATGGGCACGAACATGAATGTTCACACATGAGCAATACTTGCACACGCACATGTGCACAGATGTGGGTGAGCTGTGTGTACCTGCGTGTGTAGAAGAACAGTGGGAATGCCTGTGCCTGTCCGGGTAACTGTGTACCACCTAAGTCGGGTACGTGTGTTGGTGTACGTGTGTGCACAGGTATGACCACTGGGCCCACGTGTACTGAGTTCTGTCTTAACTGTACTAACGGTGCCTGCCTGAAGCCACAGCAGAAATCAGCCCAGACCAAATGATGTGACTGGCAGGTGACGAAGGCCTCCAAAGCCCGAGTCTGCGGCTGTGGCCAATCCAACCCCTTGGCACCCAACGAGAGAGAAAGATGGAAAGAGCACTGTGCTGGGAATCACGAGGCCTGGCCCAACACCGCTCTGTCACCTGCCCACTGAGGTCCCCTGGAACACTCTACATGTCTCCCCTTGGGCAGGTGGGTGGAGCCAGGGGGTGATGGGCAGGGTCAAATGCGAGGAGGCCCAGGGAGGCAAGAAGGGCAGTATCAATGATTGAGCTACAGGAAGTGGTATTGCCTTGGGGTTCTAATGACCTAGGTTCAAATCCTGCATCTACTAACTTTTAGTGTGTGACTTTGGGCACACCCCTTCACCTAGTCAAGCGTCAGTCTCCTTGTCTGTACAATGGGGATAATAACAGTATCTAGGTTGAAGAGCTGTTGTGAGGATTAAATGAGAAAATGCATGTAATGTAGTTAGTTGGCACTGTGCCTGTCACAGAGTGAGCTTGATAAACTCGGGCTCCTAGGACTGGGACTTAGGACAGATGTGACTGACCTTTGATGAGGACAAGAAGGAAAGGAACAGTGTGTGAGGCAATTCAGACTCCCAACTACCTCCCGCTCATCCAGACCTGTTTCCTTGTCTGTAAAATGGATAGAACAAATTCCAGCCTCCTCAAGGGCTGTTATGAGGATCAAGGAGATCATGGGCTTTAAGATCCCGGGCACAAAGGGCTCAGGGCCCAGACCCCTAGATTCCTAAAGGATGTGCAAATGCCCTGGGGTTTATGGAGTGTCTGGACCCTGTGCCCCTCAGCTTCCCAGGCTCTAGGGCCTGAGCTGAGGTCCCTGGGTGCTGTCCCCGAGGTCACACAGCCTCCGGGCTAGGGCAGAGGTGGTGGTAACCAGTCTTGCCTGCCTTGGGTCTGCCCCTAACTCTGGATGGGGGGTGGGAGAATCTCTTACTTCTGGCCTCAGGGGTCCCTGCAATTCTGGCCACACCATCTCTGCTACCTGGAGCCAGTCTTTTCTGGGCTCCAGGGTCTGCCCCACAAGGAAGTCTAATTTTCAGCATCATAATAGGAAGAAGAAGAGCTAACATTTACCGAGAGCTGCCCTGAGCCAGTCCTGTCTCAGCACTTTATGTGCACCACCTCATTCAATGCTCACAGCAACTCTATGAGGCTGTAGTGTTACTATGCCCATTTTACAGATGATGAAACCTAGGCCCTGCCCTGAGAGACTGCATAACTTGAAAGATCACATGGCTCGTAAGTTGTGCAGCCAGGATTCAAACCCAGGCAGTTGATGCCAGCTCCTAACCACCCCCTCGAGCTTCACCCAGCAGCTTCCTAAGAACAACCCCTGGCACATGCACAGCACTTTCGAGGGGATGAGGCACTTTACCCCCAAATCCTGCACTGGCCCCATTTGCTACTCCAGGAAATGCAAGTGACTTGTCCAAGGGCACATGACCAGGTCAGGCGACCTTCCCTGAGTCACCAAAGGCTCTGGCTACCCCTCCTTACTCCACATCACATCCACCTCTGATGCCAACCTCTCCAGCTCTTCCTGCAGTGGCGGGGGGCTGGGCAGAAAGGCCTAGCTTTGAACAGCAATGATGACAACAGCAAGTGACATCCCTCACATGTTGAGCACTTACTATCTGCTAAGCAGACAGGATCTCCTTGAATTCTTTCAAAAGCCCCATGCTCTAGATACGTTTGTTCCCATTTTACAGATGTGGAAACTGAAGCACAGAAGGATTGCTGGCCCAGAGTCATGTCTAGCACGTGAGATGATGGAGCCCAAATTTGTCCTGCTTGTGCCTCTGGTCACTCTGTCTGCTCTTTAGCCTCCCCCAGGTACCAGCCAAGGCCCAGAGCACAGTGGGAGTTTCCCCGGGCCCCGTCAAGATGAGCCAGGAAACACCACGATGCCTAACTTGACTGATGACCCAGCCAACTTCAAGGGCACCCACTGCGCCACAGGGCCTCCCTCTCCCTGGGGTCGAGGCGGGGGCCGGCGAGGGCAGGGCTGTGACATCTCTCATTACGGCCTCTGTCAATGGCCCTCCCTGTCCCTCTGTCTCTCCATGTCTCCCGTCCTCTGCCTCGAGCCCGCGCCTGGGCTCTAAACATCTCAAATTAGATTAATCGGGAGTTGGCAGGAGATGTGGCCACGATGCCAACCAGTAAACAAATCTCAGCCGTCAGCGTCTCGTCAGCCCGCGGCCCCAGAGGAGAACCCTTCTAGACACAAATTCTTATTAGACTTGTCAGATCTATTAAAATTCTTTTCACACTTCTGCGTTCTATCAGCCCCATCATTAGTATGGCCCTGGCCTCTGGGAACACCAGGGCCATATTAATCTGCCGTGCGCGCGCCCCCGCCCCCTGCCCCTACCCCCTCCAGGGATGGAGAGAGACAGACAGATGGACAGAGGATGGCCAGGAGCAGGAAAGCAAGGCGTGGAGCGTCCCTGGGAAGACAAGAGGCCCAGGGAGAGGAGGTGGACTTTTCTGCTTAAGAGTTTGGCCCACGTGTATACTCCATGCACTCCTGAAGGTGAGGCTGTCGGGGGGCGGGGCTGTGGGTGCGGCTGTGTACATGTCAGGACGTGGTCTCGGGCACGTGCGCTCTCTGGGACCCCACTTCCTCCTCTGCGCGGTGGGAATAACCACGCACACCGCACAGGGTGGCCGAGGGGATGAAACGCCAGACCCACAGTAGATGCTCCATAAACGGTCATTTCTCCTTCCTTTATGCACGTACATTTTGTACATCTGTATCTCGAAGCCATGGATGCACTCACATTAGTGAATACTCACAGAGAAATAAATCTCTGTGCCTGGGCATCTGTTTGTCCAAACGTGCCTGTGAGGTTGTGAACATGAACCCACACAAAGGGGGGTCCAGGTGTGCATCATTACTGAGTGTCTTACACGAGTTTGTGATTTGGCCAAAGAGAACTGGGTCTAAAGTCAGGAGACCTGGAGTTCACCATTCACCTACTGTGTGACCTTGGGAAAATTTCTAGCCTCTCTGGGCCTTAGCTTTTGTGTCTGTAACCTGAGGACAAAAAACACCTACGTACCTTGAGCGGGGTTTTTGAGAAAGACATGAACTGAGGGACTGTATGCTGCCCAGTGCCCGGGACGGACGTGAGCAGATGACAGGAGGACCTGGGCATACTCGAGGCAGTTAGGGACTCTTGCACCTGGACTGTGGGAGCCCAGTCGTATTCAGTCGCCCGTGAACGTGGAGCAGGTGGTCACTGGGAACACGTGTCCCCTAGCTGTTCCGGAAGTCAAAGGTGAGGGAGACGACACAATGGAAAAACCCTGGGGCGACTGATCTAACCCATGGGCCCCCATTTCACAGATGGCAAGACTGAGGCTCGGAGAGGCAGGGCGACTTGCCCACACCATGGTGGCAGAGGGACAGACTTTCCCTCAGGCCCCTCCCAGCCCAACCCTGGAGCCTCGGTGGGGTGGGGCAGAGAGGGGTCTGTGCCGAGATCCCCTCTGGGTAGGGTTGGACAATGCGGCGCAGGAGGAGCTCTGAGCTGCCCCTGCAGGAGCCAGGGGAGCAGGGGTGGAGCTAGCAGGGGAGGGGCTGGGGGGGGAGAGATGGAGAAGCGGGGAGGAAGGACGAGGACACAGGGAGGAGGGGGAGGAGGCCCCACTCCAGCCAGCTTTTCCATCAGGGAGGAACAAACGCTCCTTTCTCGCCTCCTGGGCCCTTTCTCTTTTGATCTCCCTCCCTTGCCACCCCGTGCTGACTTCGGGGTTAATTTTATTTCCGAGCTGGGCGGGCGCCCCTGGAGGGGGCACAGGGCTCTGGGTGTGACTAACGCCTGCCCCAGGCCGGGGCTGCTGCCGGCGCTGGAGCCGCTCTCAACTCTTGATCAAGAGCATGTGTGTCCCGCTCCAGGCCCGGGACACGAGCCAGGCCGGGGGGTCACCCTGGGCCTCTCTGGAAACACTCCCATTCACGCACACGGGTGCACGTTGCTCTCAAACACATATGCACACACGTGTTACACAGCCCCACATGCTTGCTCCCCATGCACACACATTCACACAGACAACATCGTATGTACACACTCAGGTGCCCAGCAGTAATACACAGGTACACACAGCCACACCTGTGCACACACTCAAGCACACACACCCCCATATGTACACACTGCACACAGAGTCTACAAGTCCACATATGTTCTTCCAAATACACACACACTCAAGCATATGTACCTGCTGAACATAGATGCACGGACATGTACATACAGCCACACACATCTGTACACTCACACACGCATCTGTACATACACACACATTTATTATGCCTGTCCACATAGTGACATAGGTCAAACACACAGGCACATGCATAGACACTCAGCCACATGCACATACCTGAATGCACATTTGAACACACGTGTGCCCTGTGTTACAGCCACATATACTCACGTGACCAAACCTGTGCACACGTGAGTCCACATACAAATCCATATGCACGTTTGTGCACATACTATGCTTATTAAACTCACACATATGTGATAGTCACACACACATATACCCACACACGCCACTCACACCTTCACACATACACACACGTACCTATACACAAGGATGAGTGCACGAACACGTATGCTGAAATACACGACACACAGACACACACACGCACACGAATGGTAACATATCTATGGCACATGTATTCATATTCACACATGTGAACACAAATATACACAGGGAAGGAGTTATGGACACAGCTGGGAGGGGAGGCTGGTGCAGCTGGCCTTCATTTAGCCATGGAGGCCAAGGCCGTGCCCGGAGCTGTGGGCTGGTGTGAGGGCAGGAAGCAGAGGTCAGCGAGGCCAGGCCAGGGCTTCGGTGGGGGGTGGGCGGGTGGGGAGGACGCCCTCGGGCTGGGAGTCTCACCCTCTCGCCACACGCCCTTCTGATTAGTTTGACACCAGCAGGTGAGGCCTTTGCTGGGAGGTGGGGCAGGAGGGGACCCCAGTGACCTCAGCTCCCTGTGCTGTCTTGGCCTGCCCTGCTGCTGCCCCATCTGGTAGCTGGAGGCTGTGGCTGGGCCTGCCTTTTGCAGCCTTTGGTCTGAGGGTCTGCCGCCCCACCTCCAGGCAAGGTGCCAAGGAGGTGGCGGCTGGGGTGGGCACCTGAGACCAGCTCAAAGTTTGGGGAAACCAAGGCTGAGGGTAAGGGATAGAGGAAAGAACTCAAAATACAGCTTTTCCCCACAGCCAGGGGGCAGAAATGGGCAAGATCTCTAATACCACACCATCCAACGTGGCAGCCACCAGCCACACATGGCTACTGAGCATTTGAAACGTGGCTGATATGACTGAGAACTGAATTACGTTTTAATTCAATTTTATCTAATTTAAATTTAAAAGCTGAAATTCGATTTCAGTATATTTGAGAAATTTTTCAGTATATTTGGAACAAGTTGGGTGTGTAAATCTACTTCCTCGGTTGTAAATTATTTAAAATTTAAATGCAGATCAAGTATTTCCAATGAAAACAGTGTCTGAATTAAAATGGGCTGGATTCCAAAGACAGAGTGTGAAAAAAGAATGTAAAATATCTCATTAATAACTTTGTACGGATGACACGTCGAAATGATCATCTTTTGGATACTGGGTTAAACAAAATATGTTAGCAAAAATAATTCCACTTGTCTCTTCTTATGTTTTCAAATGGGGCTATTAAGACATTTGAAATGGCATTTGTGGCTCGGATAATATTTCTACGGGGCAGCACTGCTCTCCGGCGACAGTAGCGTGAGTGTAGGGGTCCAGCTCAGCATCATCTTAGGACAACTGTTCATCCTTTCTGGACCTCCACTTCCTCATCTGTGAAATGGGCCCCCCACCCATCACCACCTCGCAGCTCTCTACAAATAAGCAGAAGGCCCTTGGAGTGGGGGCGGGGGTGTGGAGGGGGACGCCCCGGGTGCCGGGCACTCACTCTGGCCATACTGGCCGTACTGGTAGCCAGCCACGGGGTCCACGCTGTAGCCGGTGGTGCTGTAGGTGGGCGGGCAGTAGGACTGGGAGGTGGGCAGGCTGTCTCCCGGCTTGATGGAGTCAGCCCGCTGGCTGCAGCTGGCCGAGATGGAGGTGGCCGCGTCCAGGCCGCCGTGCAGCGGGGAGATGGAGAAGTCGGCCTGCGGCTGCGGTGGCACGGCACTGGGGTTGCTCAGAATGCTCATCACCTGCGGGGGAGAGACCATCAGTGCGGCCGCGCAGAGGCGTGGGGGCTCGGAGGACGGACCCTGCCGACACAGCACGTGCGGGCACGATGCCAGGCCACCTGGGACAGGCCTTTGCTGGAGTTGCTCCCTTGAGGTCCCTGCAGCATCGAGAGCCTCAGTTTACCTGGTTTGCTTGTCCTTGTGGGTAAGATGGTTAGTGGTTAGCTCCCTCCACTGAGAGCTCTAGGGGGCAGGGTGTGGACTTGTCCACTTCTCTATCCCCCAGGCCTGGCTCTAAGGGGTACCTTGTGCCTGTCTGCTGAACGAATGAACGCATACAGGCGTGAATGAATGAATGAACTAACTAGATAATTACGTCTCTCCCATCAGACAGGCACCTCCCCTGGGACAGGAAACTATGCCTCCCCCATCAGACTGGGATGCCCCCATCTCCCAACACAAAGGTCAGAGCAGGACTCTGGATCTGTCCGGCTCCTCCCCCCTGCCCTGTGCTAGGCCCGCTCCGTCTCTGACTTCCCTGGACTTGGAGCTTCTGCCCCCACAACACCGACGTACACGGCCAATGCTGTCAAATAGCCTCCCGGGCACCTTTCTTAGATTCCGGCAGCTCCCAATGTCTGTGACCATCAGTGCCTTCCCTGCTTGGCCTGGTTCAGCAAACAGGAATTCCCTATCAGTGCTGGCAACCCGGACGGGCAGGTGAGGCTCGCCTCTGGAAACTCAGCTTAAAGAACCAGTTCATGGGTATGTTCACTTAGTCGTTCAACAAACATGCACTGATGATGGCTATGGCCTCAGGCTAGGCCCTGGGACTTCAGAGGAGGAAGAGCCATGGTCCTTTCTCTCCGCAGGGGGAGTATCTGGGTCTGGTGGCGGAGGCACCTGGCAACAGACCATCAAGATACGGAGTGATGAGGGGCGTGATGGAAGCAGCTCAGGGGGCTGTGGGAGCCCCGAGGGGGGCACGCAGCCAGCCTGGCGGTGGAGAGAGTGGAGAAAGGTGGTGCAGGCAGGAGTCCCTGCAGCATGAGAGCACAGGGGTCCTGGTCAGTCCAGGGGAGAGGAGGCAGACGCAGGCCCTTGGGGACCAGACCCGCAGGGCCCAGGCCCCTGGTGACCTCCCAGCGATGCCCCCTCCTAGGGGAGGGAGGCCGCAGGGCCAGGTGGGGACAGCCTTGCTGATGATCTGCCCAGCACAAGCTCAAGGACCGTGCTGCGGTCCACGCTGGGCACGCAGTTGAGTTCTCTGATTTCCCCGCCTCCTGGCGCGTCCCTGCCACAGGCAGCGAGGCATGGCCGGGGGCGAGGGTATGGACCTGCATCCACAGGCCAGGATGGACTGAGCTCCTCCGCTTCCTAGCCGTCAGCCTCGGCTGTCCCTTAACTTGTGTAAACACCGCCGTCCTGATGATGATGGAACCTACGCAGACGGTGGCCGGGAGGATGAGGCAGGCTCTAGGAGGAAGGCTCTGCACCCAGCCCGGCCCGCGGCGCGTGCTCAGGGATCAGCGGCCCTGACTCCTCTAATCTTCCTTCCCCACCTCCTTCCCTGTCCCTCCTTCCAATCCAGAGCCCTGCAGAGATGTGGGGGCGGAGCTATGATGCCCACTTCTCAGATGAAGACACTGAGGCCCACGGAGGCTCTGGCTTCCCCAGATCTCACAGCAGGTGTGCGAGGGAGCAGTCTAGGGTCCAGATGGCCAACCTGCTCATCTGAGCATGTCAAGACGGACTCTCAAGGCCCCTTTAGAGGTTCTCACTCCAGGGACTGGGGCAGCTGCTGTGGGGGGATGGGGTGGGGTCCCTCACCCCTGGGGGCCTGGCTCCTCTGAACGGCATGGGCACAGTCTCCCCTGACTCCTTCCTCCAGCACACTCAGCCCTGGGGTCCCCCCTCCTCTGTCCTTTCACCCCCGCCCCAGGGCCAGAGTCACGGGCACTGGGCCCTCCGGGGCTGGTCTTTGTCTCCACTACAGCTGGTGGGGTGTAGGTGGGACTTGTGGTGTGACAGGCCATTGAGATGGCAAAAAGACAGGGGCACGGGTCTGTGAGAAGAAGAGTCTGCACAGGGGACGTCTGGACGACCTCGGGCAGCAGCGCTGTTTCAGGGAGCTGAGGTCTCCCAAACCCACTCTGCACTGAATGCCCCTCAGAGGTCTGGGTGATGGCAGAGTCCACACAGGGTGCTTGGGGGGTGGCGACAGGGACCCCGTGGAGGGGTGGTGTGTGAGGGTGTCTGACACGCACCGTGGTCTGTGTTTGTTGCTTTCCACCTGTTGCGCAGGGGTCTCCTGGGCCTGAGGAATTTGTGTGTGTGTGTACAAGTGTGAGTGTGTTGGGGTGGGGGGAGAGCCTCGGGGGAAACCCCAGAATCTAACACTGCCCTGGGAATCAGAGACGCGATCCTCTTCCAGGTTGCCAGCCAGGTTTCCAATCTGGCCCTCACTTTCCATCTAAATTAAGAAAACCACCACCCAGCCCATTCCCCATCCCATACAAACACTAACCCTGCGCCCTCACAGGAGGCCTGCGTCCCAAGAACAGGCCTAGAGGCTCAGGGGAAACACACAGGCCCCATTTCCCTGCCTCCAGAAGGGCCACTGTGGGGGCAGGGAGACTCCCGGGAGGGTCTGCAGCTCTGGTGAGACCCCAGTTTAATCCTCCTGAACATCACCAAGACCCCAAGCCCAGAAGGGACAATGGGAGGGGAGGGGAGAATTGGGGGGGTTAGATAAAGAATGAGGGTGTTTTGGGGACATGCTGGGAGCTGTGCACAGACCCAGTATTCATCCTGCGAGACCGAGACCTACACAGAACCACTGCCAAATCTGACCACTTCACTCAAGAACCATCGGTGGCTCCTCAGTACCTCCCAGATGAACAGGGCAAAGGCCTCTTGCTATCTGACTGCTACCTGCCTGTCCCAACTTCTCCCACCCCTTCCTACCTTGCACTTCATATCCCAGCTATCCTAAACGATGTGGTCTTTCCTGAAGATATTCTTCATTCATTCATTTATTCGTTCAACAAACACTTCGTAGAGTGCTACTATGTGCCAGGCTGGAGACAGGGCTGGACTGTGAGCTCTTTGAGGGCAGGCTGGAACTGTGTTTCATCCATCTCTGTAGCCCCGGGGCCTCCCCTGTGCTTGCCACATACTGTGAGCTCAAAGGACCCCTGTTGAATTCACGTATATTCACTTAACAAATACTTACTGAGCACCTAGGATATGCCAGACACTGAACCAGGCCCTGAGATACAGGAATGAACAGTAGCAGCTCCATGCCCTCCCAGAGCTGCCAGTTATGAAGGACCCTGACCACAAACAAATGACCAAATAAACAATAGAATTTCCGAGACTGATACGTGTTATGGAGGAAAAATAAGGGGAGTATGTGGAATCACGCAAGACCTCCCCAAAGAGGTGATATCCAGCAAGACCAAAAAGAACCGGCCATGGGAAGATGCAGCAGAGAGCTTTCCAGGCAGAAGAGTCAGCAAGTGCAAAGGCCCTGAGGTGGGAACACACCCGGCAGGCTTAAGAAATAGCACAAAGGTCAATGCTGAGAATGAAAATCCGGGAGCTGGAGGCCTTTGTTAGAAGGGGCTTGTGTGGTGCCCAGTGGCTCAGGGGGGCTTGGACCCTGGACCCTTAACAGACAGCTCAGAATCAGCTCAGGCCCAGGGAGCTTTCCTGTAATGGGATTTGTTCAATGGGATTTGCCCCGGAACATCAAATCAAATCCACATCTGGGATAGGTGTGAACGGGGGATGCGGGGCATCTGCTCACTCTCTCCCAGAGTCCCTGGAGGCCTGCGGATCAAAGGGCTTCCATTTCATCCAGCCCCCTGACTCTAGGCTTGGCAGCTTCCAAGCAAGTGGGACAGGACCCAAGTGAAGAGAGGTGGGAGGGGGAGCATTCACTCCTTAAGCAAATAGGCTATGACTACCCCCATTCTGCAGATGGGGAAATCGAGGCACAGGGAAGTGGACATGTGTACCCAAGGTCACACAGCCAGTAAGTGGCAGAGCTGGGATTTGAACCAGTCTCCCTGACCCCTAGCTGTGTCCCCACACAGGCTGTGCTGGAGAGTGGAGAGAGAGGCCCTCGGCAACCTCGCCGTGTAGAGCCTGCAGGCCTAAGTGGCCCTTGTCGGCCTCTGGCTGGCCCGCGGAGCCCTGGGAGTCCCTCTTTGCCCGCGGAAGCAGGAAGCGTTTGCCCACAGTTAGGGGTCCCAGCCGAGGTCGGGGGCCTGCAAACTTTTGAACTTGAGGAAGTCCTGGTCTGATGCGGTAATCCACCCCCTCAAGAATGCTAAGGCCTCTCCCCCGGTGGGTTTTACTTCTTCCCGGTGACCTTGCTTTCACTAATGTATTACTTCTTGGTACGTTACCGTTACTAACTCAAAATCAATACCGACCTCCACATCTGTAAGGTTTTATCTGAAGGCAAATCTCTGGGCTGTCCGTCAGGCTGAGTGACAGCCGTCCCCTCCTCTCCCCCCGACCGGCCGGGGCCCCCACCCGCCCCAGCCCCTTCCTCTCCCTCTGCTCTCAATCAGTGCCAGCCTCCACCAGACTAAATCAATAAGGGTCCGGCCTCACCCCTCTTCCGCCGCTGGGGAGAGGCTTGCAGGTTTGGGGGTGGGGGTCACAGGAGCCCCATGTCAGCCCCCCTTCCACATCCTCTGCTCGCCGCCCCCTCCCCCGGGACGTGCCGGCGCGCTCCCCTACTTTAAAAGAAGGGGATGGGAAAAATGTAATTAATTCCCTCCGTTCCTGAGCTGGCCCTGAGGGTCTGGGACCGAGGAGGCTGAGCTGCGAGATCTGCACCCTCTGTGATAACCGAACGCGGCTTTGGGAGCGAGGCTGCAATTAGAAGGGGTGATCGCCATCATCGGGGCTCCATGGCAGGGTTCAGGGTGGGTGGGTGGGGGCCGAGGCAGGGCGCAGAGGGGAGAAAGAGGGGCAGGGGCGAGGCTGGTGAGGTCAGGACCATG